TAATTTGTTCGCGACTTTTTGTTTTACTCTACATTGTTTCTGACTCTGAAATGCTGCATGATTGGTGGATTTTGACATATCTGTCAATGTCATGTCAAAAATAACCAATCTTGCAGCATTTGGACCTCGCGTCTACGTATTGACATCTGGCGGATTTTTCAATCGCGAAAACCCTCATTCGAAAAGTAGGTACTTGGGTATTTATTCGCGTTTATGTTTTGTTTTTCGTTTTACTCGAATTTATTTTCCACCCTAAGCGGCCAGCAAGTTATAATTTTGTGCTGCAAATTGTCACTTATTACAAAAACTTACGGTGCTGTTGTTTATTTTGATGTGCCGCCACGTAAAGAACTATTCTTATGCCGTATTATTCGCGTTTAGTTTTGTTTTTCGTCTTACTCGAATTGATTTTCCACCTTGTACAGTCGCTAGCACATGGTATTTTGTTGCAAATTCGCACTTACTACAAATACTTAAGGTCCTATGCTAATCTTGATGTGCAGTCCAGTATTAGCATATTATTACGTAGCATCGTCGATGGCAAGCAATCATGAGCATGTGTGATTGCGCTCCGTAACTGATTTTCCCGTTCTGAATAGTTAATTTATGAGTCAGCCACTGCCTTTCCTGGACACGCAAATACCATGATTTAATGATAGACAGTTTTTTGCATACTACACATTGTATCAGCAAAAAGTCCCGGTAAAAGCGAATTTAGGAAGGAAAGTATTTTGTATACTCATTTATTTATGCAAAGAAAACTGATAGCTCAATAACTTCTTATTTGACAATCGTTTGAGAATGTCACTTGAAATGATTTATCTAATTAAAATCCCTAAATACTTACATGTATAGGTAATTTAAAAGCAAAAAGAAAATAGCGTGTATTCTCCATAGATAGCTCTGTTGTCATTATTCTTATTAATTTTTGATGATGTCATGTTGTGTAAAGCCTATATAGTAAAGGCACTAATTTATTGACAGACAAGGAAACTAATTATGAAGTTTATTTTCTGCCAGTCATTTGGCTACTAGAAGAATGATATCAATGATTAATATGTCTAGTCATGGTCAGTGATGAAGCTATGGTTTTGCTGTCTTCATCCACATGAAGCGTCTATTCAATAGAACAGTGTGAAAATGATGATGACTTACAACTACGTCACTTAGTTAAAAAACTGTTCAGTTTGTGTAAATTATTAACTTCCTGGCCTGTTCAAATATAATGTTGCAGATTTTTTTAGATAACAAGTTCTACATAAATTAGTTCCAAAAACTTTGTCCAAACTGCTCCAAACCTTACCTAACTCACTGTTACTTTGTGGAGAATAACTAAGTACCTACCTACTCAATAAATCACTCTAATAGTCACCGAGTTTCTTGCGCTGCTTCTTCTCAGGTTAATACTGGTACGTGTAAAAGTGCTTTTTAAAAGCTTCTTTGCAAAAATAAATGAGTATTTATTATTTACTTTACATTAGAATCCAATCCAATAAGTCAAACAAGTGTTAAGAATATTCCCCGAAAGTGCTAAATTCAATCTAGTTGGCTATTTTCATGCCGGATGTATAAATGTAGCCCAAGCTTTTGACCCATCAAGTGTCATGTACAGGCCCGTTCATACGAGCACACTGCAAAAAGTAGGCTTTATTTACAAACAAGTTCTCAAAGTGAAGGTCGCAGATAACGTGGTCACGTGGGAAACTGGAACAGGATTATTGGTAAAATAAATTTCGAATTTTTATGCTAATCTACATTTTACTCGTTCGGATTTTTTTGTCTGTAATTACTTGATCTGGTGGTTAACTATAAAAAGAAAGGATAGGAGTCTGCATGTATTTAAATATATTGTTGAATAATTAATTATTACTCATAAATGCCATTAGTGACGGAGAGTAAATATTAAACGCAAAATAAACAATCTGATTAATACATTAATCAACACGATGATTGTATCACTAGCATTTTTGTATTTTTTCCGAGTGATACAAAACAGTGTTATCTTGAAAGTTCTGAATCACCTTTTTTTTTTTTTTTTTTTTTTAGGGTGGTAAAAATGCATTGAGTTTCATACCCGCCGCTGTGGTAAGGCGACGGGTTATGTGGGGCTCTCCCCTCCAGAAGGGAGGGGCCTACCCACTAAAAATCCACCAATCTCCGTCTTATTGAGCAGAGGCAGGAGCCGGTGTAGCTGAGCCTTATCCCGACCTATCCAACCAATGCTCATGTAGTCCGCTTAAGTGTGCAGACTCCGTCTTTACCACATCCTTCTTNAATACCTCAAGGGTGGTCCCATTTAAATTTAATAATAGAAAAAACAACCCCCAAGGGTGGAAAATTGGGGATGAACTTCTTTATACGCAATATCTCCGCTGATTATAAATCAATTTGAACAATTATTTTTTTGTTGAATAGGTATTATCAAAAGGGTGGTTTCATGCGAATTTGAAGAAAATATTTCACCCCCAAGGGTGGAAAATTGGGGATGAACTTTTTTATACCCAATATTTTCAATTTTTAGTTTTTTTTTGTGTAAATAAATAAATTTTTGTGTAATAATAAAACCGACTTCAAATGCGTGACATTTGAAGTCGGTTTTATTTTTAATAAAAGTTAATTATCTGCAAAAGGTTTTATTTCTTACTTTGATATGCCGTCACTTAAAGCACTAGCATCTTGTCGTATTATTCGCGTTTATGTTTTGTTTTTCGTTTTACTCGAATTGATTTTCCACCCTAAGCGGCCAGCAAGTTATAATTTTGTGCTGCAAATTGTCACTTATTACAAAAACTTACAGTGCTGTTGTTTATTTTGATGTGCCGCCACGTAAAGAACTATTCTTATGCCGTATTATTCGCGTTTATGTTTTGTTTTTCGTCTTACTTGAATTGATTTTCCACCTTGTACAGTCGCTAGCATATAATATTTTGTTGCAATTTCGAACTTAGTACAAATACTTAAAATGCTATGCTAATATTGATGTGCAGTCCAGTATTAGCATATTACGTAGCATCGTCGATGGCAAGCAATCATGAGCATGTGTGATTGCGCTCCGTAACTGATTTTCCCGTTCTGAATAGTTAATTTATGAGTCAGCCACTGCCTTTCCTGGACACGCAAATACCATGATTTAATGATAGACAGTTTTTTGCATACTACACATTGTATCAGCAAAAAGTCCCGGTAAAAGCGAACTTAGGAAGGAAAGTATTTTGTATACTCATTTATTTATGCAAAGAAAACTCTGATAGCTAAATAACTTCTTATTTGACAATCGTTTGAGAATGTCACCTGAAATGATTTATCTAATTAAAATCCCTAAATTCTTACATGCTTAGGGAGTTTAAAAACGAAAAGAAAATGGCGTATATTCTCCATAGGTAGCTTTTTGTCATAAGTGCTTATTAATTTTTGATGATGTCATGTTGTGTAAACCCAGGGCACTAATTTATTGACAGACAAGGAACCTAATTGGAGTTTATGTTCTGCCAGTCATTTGACTACTAGAATAATGATATCAATGATTAATACGCCTAGTCATTGAAGCTATGGTTTTGCTGTCGTCATCCACATGAAGCGTCTATTCAATAGAACAGTGTGAAAATGATGATGACTTACCTACAACTACGTCACTTAGCGTAGTTAGTACTGTTTTCCGTTTTCAGTTAAAAAACTGTTCAGTTTGTGGTTTAACTATCTGTCCTGTTTAAATGATGTTGTAAAATTTAGAGATACCAAGTTCTCATTACCTAATTATTTCCCAAAACTTTGTCAAAACTGTTTCACACCTTACCCCATTTGGATACTTGACACTATTACTTTTTGGGGAACAATTAAGTACTTTATAAAGCACTTTACATTATAATCCAAATAAGTCCGATAGTGTTAAAGATATTTCCAATATTGCCCGAAAGTGCTAACATGCTAGCTAGCTATTTGCATGCCGGATGTATAAATGTAGCCCAAGCTTTTGACCCATCAAGTGTCATGTGCAGGCCCGTTCATACGAGCACACTGCGAAAAGTAGGCTTTATTTACAAACGAGTTCTCAAAGTGAAGGTCGCAGATAACGTGGTCACGTGGGAAACTGGAACAGGATTATCTATACAGGGTGTTAGGTAAATGGGTATATGAGCCGACACTAGCCCATGTTAACATGGTCATATAAATGGTATGGTGAAGTCAGAAAATTGATATCTTCATTTTAATGATTTTGTTTTTCATACAAATCGGATTTTATAAAATTTATTTTGTATGAAAATTAAAAAAATCAAAATGATGATATCAAATTTCTGACTTCACCATACCATTTATATGCCCATGTTAACATGGGCTAGTGTCGGCTCATATACCCATTTACCTAACACCCTGTATATATAAAAATGAAACCCGTTTCGCGTTGTCACGGCATCACGTGTGAACGGCTGAACCGATTTCGATAATTCTTTTTTTTAAATGTTTGTGGAAGTCCAAGGATGGTTCTTACGGAAAAAAATATTAAGAAAATCTCTACGCTAAGGCGGTACGAAGTTCGCCGGGTCAGCTAGTTTATAAAATAAATTTCGAATTTTTATGCTAATCTGCATTTTACTCGTTCGTGTTTTTTTTGTCTGTTATTACTTGATCTGGTGTAAAAAGAAAGGATAGGAGTCTGCATGTATAAATATTTTATGAATAATTAATTACTCATAAATTTTGTCATTAGGGATGGAGAATAAATATTAAACGCAAAATAAACAATCTGATTAATACATTAATCAACACGATGATTGTATCACTAGCATTTTTGTATTTTTTCCGAGTGATACAAAACAGTGTTATCTTGAAAGTTCTGAATCACCTGGCTGGTCCCTGATCCGTCAACATCATTCTCACAAATCATTACTAACCCCCGCGTGTCAAAAGAGTGGGCAGTCCTTCCTAAAACGGTCCAAATTCACAACAATTGAGATAATTTCGCGCTCGTTGTCCGTTCCAAATAATAGTCCGTTCGCAAGTGTATTGACTCCTACACCTGAGTCGTTCAAAGGCACTCGCTCGACGGCCATATAATTTAGGTACCGGCGCGCGCGCCTCTTATCTTCCCGCGCCTCAAGCCAACTCGGACGTGTGCGCATGCTATTTTCGAATTTCGTTCGATTTTCAATTTTCAAGTTTACAGTTACGTTTTTTTTACGGAAACAGTGAAGTGGCCAGTGAGTTTTTGGATAGCCAGTTTAGTTTTATTTTGTTGTAAGTAATTCTTTTTATCACGTTTAGCTTTTTAAAAACATCAAAACTTTTCCAATAATGCACGTGCAGTTTTTTTATATTTCATTTGTTTTTGATACGTTATTTTTGATGTTTTAATTGTTTTTAGTGTATTTTTTATTGACAATATCATATTTTAAATTAAACTAATTTTATACAACCGCTTACAAAAAATTAAGTAATGTGCCTAGTAAATGAAGAAAAAATACTGATCTGTAAGTTGTGAATTTTCACACCTAAAATGCTATACATATTGGTATAGGTTGAGAAATTGTTATTGATATCGTGAGAATTTTAGAAATGAGTGAGTGATTGATACCGAGTTGAGAAATGTACACTGACCGATTGGTATTATATTCAGCGTACTAATTTAGTTTTTTTATACTTATTAAGTTACTTTTTCTTACAATACACTCTTAAAGCCTTTTTAACTAGCCAGCCTAATAAAAAGTAAATATATTTTAAATTAAAAGTAAGGTATAAAGCGAAAGCTCGTGGGTTCACGTCCCACCTAAGGCTGTCTATTTTGAGGTTAAAATATAAGGAAAAAATCGTTAGTAACAGTTGATTATTTTTTATTTATTTATGAGATGAGAGGCAGAGGTAAATATTATCTACCTACATGTCGAATGTAACATCATTACATTTAGAATTCAGTAAGATATGTTATCATTTACTCACTCATCTTGTAACATAATGATGAAATACTTTATCTGATAAGTATGAATGTCAAGTTAACGCCAAGTATCTGTTCTATGAAAAGAGATAGATATTTACGAACCTATTGTGATTGTAGATTTAGATTTTAGATCAATGGTACTTGATGCTTATCGGATATTTGGCTAGCTTATTGATTCTTTTCTCATAACGGCCTAGGTATAGATAAGTTTAGCCTAGGTACTTTTCAGTGTCATTGTCTAAGAAGACTTATCAATAAATTACGAACAACGACACTTCATAAAGTTAATCTTAAATCTTGTGTCTGCACATAATTTACTTTTTTCACTAAAACCGCTTAATTTTCGTTTAGGCAATTCGTTTTTTAAAGTTATTTAAAATTTAGTATGAGATGTCTCTTAATGCAAAAAAATTAACCAAATACTTATTTACCCTATACAGATTAATAGACACCACTTTTGCTAATCCACAGAGGTTAATAACCATTAAAATAAACCAGGTGCGACTAGTAATGGACAAGGTGTCAAAGAATCAACTATTTACAAATTCGAATACCTACAGAATGATAAATAAATAAATTAAGTATGTGATTAAAGGCCAATAAACTCTAGCGGCATTTCGTCATTAGGCTATTTTGTAATGACAAAAATAAACTAAGGCTATCTATATTTAGTTCACAATACCATATAAGATAGAAAGGCATAATATTTGTTACTGAAATATTATCTAAAATTTCATAACTATGACGTGGTGGTAGGTCCGTAGTTCTGCGTAGTTGGTTTTCTGTCATCTGACTTCTGGAGTCACTATTTTAAATTACGAAAAAATTTTTTTTAAGTAAGATTAAATTGCCATTGACTGTAATTAGTCAATCAAGGGTAATTTAAAAGTTTGATTGCGTGCTTCTCAAAAGCTCACGTCTGAAACGTCGTACTTTTTATATGTAGTTCTTTTTAAATCTACAACGAGGAAGCTCTTGGCCTGTATCTCACTGATGGTAAGTGATGATCAGGCCGAAGGCGATGACGAAGGTGTTGATTTACTTCTTTTTTTTCCATTTAATCTGATTATGCAACATTGACTTTAACTTTAATTTGATTTGATTGATTAAACAGTATTATTGTAATTGATATATTTTTTAAATTTAATTTGTACACCGCAAAGGTACGACATGTTGATACACCATTTTAAATGCTGACTTAATACCTTATGTACCTACACATGTTTGAACAAATAAATGTATCTTAATTTATCATTGTATCAAAAAAAAAATAAGAAGCTAAACACATTTTATAGCAAAATTCCAGGAGAATTATGTTTTTTTGTTTCTTTATTTAACTTCTAATCTTTTACGATACACGTGTTAATTAATACAATAGTCTGCGTTTTACAATCAGAGATTATTATTTTTTAAACATAAATATTTATTTTCTGATGTAGGTATACTCTGAAATTAATAGCAATATTTGTAAAATGATAAAAATACAATGTTTTATCAAAAGATCCCAAAAGCTGCAAAAATGTTATTGTTAAATGGTCATTAACGCAAATTTAGTAAAAATACGATATCAAGTTTTAAAACAATAATATTGTAGGCGCCTGTTTTAGAATCAGAAACAAAAACTACGACTTAAAGAATTGAAGTAGGTAATTAATTATTTTTCTAAATTCAACTATTTCAATTTATCATGGGATGTTTTTATAATATTACTGCTATTATCGGTACTATCTAATTAAGGCCCTAATGCCCTTCAATACAATTGAATCAGCAACTCTCAACTCCGACTCGTGACACTGTCGCATACTCAGATCATAGAAAGAGAATAGATATGAAGTCGCGCGTAACTACAACGAGAACCAGTGTCCCCACATTTCCCCCATCACAGCTCCCACACACACATTCAACTGTGTAAAAACAAAGCGACTGAGAGTCTACGACAACATGTGCAACCGGCTTAAAAGTGCTGTGATTGGCCAGAAGGCGTGCCTTATGGCCGCGTGACGTGACGCACACTTTGAAAAAAGCAATTAGAGAGAAGAAAGATAAAATGGAGTCGATAAGATATCGATACTTTAAATCCTGGGGGCAAGGCTCGAAATTGGTTTAAAAAATGCTTGTATGAAAACATTTTTATTATTATACGTTATTATTATGTTCTTTAACGATTTTTGCATAAAGGAGTCAGTTCCATTTTGTATGGACGAAAAACTCAGAATCAATTATTGGGACTAAATTAAGTTACCTTATATTAATTTACCCCAACCAAAGCTCAATGTCGTTATCGATGGAGTATAGAAGTTATAGACTGACAAAGTTTGTATGAAAAGTCATGGGTTAAGTAGGTACTTGCGATTTTTACCAGTATTTACAATATTGGTAATATATTATTATTTACTTTAATAATAATAACAGGATCACTGTAATTATTATTAACTACTATTGCGCATTAACTTTTTAATTATGGCGAAATTCGTACCGCCTATGTTTATCAAAAATAATGCTTATATTAGGCTTTCAACTAGCTCTTATAGTAATTACATAGTTGACAGTTACTAATCCCTTCTACTATTGTTATTATTTTTGTAAAAACTTAAAAATCGCAAGCAACTCATAATTTTTTCATTCAAAATTAGAAAATAGAAAATAATAATTTACTTCTATTTATCGATAATAGGAAACCGTATTAGAACACGAGCCCTGCACTATGTTACGACCGGCACATGCGGCCGTACTGTGTATTTTCACGCGTCAGTGGATATCGGAAGAAATAAAATACATTGCGCAGTAGTTACGCATGACATAAAGTGGTTGCTAACTAAATCGTCAATGTACAACGTGTTTGAATTTTTATCACCACTAATTTCGATATCGCAGTAAATGTCACGGCACTGAATTCGTTCGTAAAAATGTTTAGTTTTTTTTATTTATAAGCAAAATACCAATGGATTTGCAATACTTACATGTGGTAAATGACTTCATTGTTCCTGTAGTTCTTCGTTTCACTTATGTTATTGCACGTTACGACGCATTATCCAACAATATCGGAGAACATTTCCTCAGTACGACTGAATCGCGACTAACCTGGCGTCGCGGGTGATGTTCGTTTCTGGGCATATCGCGGAGACACGCGCCACGCCCCCGTTTCACATCTATTCCCTTCTATGATCTGAGGTCGCATATTATCAAACTACAGACACTCCAAATCTTAGCAACTTTATCTTTACGTTAAACTCTAGAATCTAGATTGAGTTAAGCCATTTGAACAATAATAAAAGATATCCTTTTTAAAATGCAATAGACGTGTGCTTTACTTTTTTTCCTTCATAAATCACTATTGATATTTCTTCAATAAAACACGCTATATCTGACATTACTTGCTATCATGACATGACTACTGCAAATTGCAGTTTCGCGAGCCAATGCAACCAATTAAAATTAATTAGGACATCTAAGAATTAATATCGGCTGGTAAAACTTAGAGAAACCATTTGTTCAATGTTTATGACAATACCAATAACATAAAACTTAATATTTAAACATTCGTTTAATATTAATTGTTTAGTTGAGTAAATATTTTTTTTGTTGCAAATGAAAATGTATTACATGACACGACGACAGTGATGTATTTTCGTGTTTAATTTTTATTTGAAATTACATTCGCGTGTATACTCGTATGAAATAATATAAAAGTAAGTAAATCATGATTAATAATGTTTTTAATTCTGTCTGTCTATAATTAGCTACCCAACTTTAATTATTATGGAACCAATTTATACTTCAAAAACAATAACCAAATTAAAATTAAATAATACTTATTACCTATTTTAATTTTAGTGCCAGTTTTCTTCGAAGGTGCTGTTAATTTGTTTGAGTCACCTTCAGTAGTTGGATTAACCCTAGAGTAGTCGCGCCTTTCCGTGAAACGTGAGTGCTCGCGTATGAGCATTTTGCCGCCCTAACTTAAAGTCCGGTTGTGTGTCAATTAACAGTTTAAAAATATGAAAATCAGTTAAAAATGATAGAATAAAGCATACACTATTAGAAAATAACGTGTATTAAAGATTTGTGGTTAAAATTTAAAGAAAAAAAAATATTTTGGAAATGTTAGGAAATATTTATAGAAATCTTAGAAACACTATTGTTTTTACCTACATACATCATCAAATATTAAACTTATTAGCACATTTAAAGGTTTTCCTTACATATGACATGTGCTTCAACAAAACAGGCCTGTCACATGTGCATTTAATGTGCGTTGCACAGTAAATTTGCACAACTATTGCACCCTTGGCACATCATATTC